CTCCAAAACCCGAAAAACAGACGCGCTGAGAAGGAGGCTAAGAGAGGCACAGGTCCCGCCCTGGCCCCGCCCTCTGCCAGTTCTAAAGAGAAAAGTCTCTCCGCCTTCCGCCCCGCCCCTACTCCTCAAGGCCCCGCCCACCTCCTCCCGGCCCCCGCCCAGACCTGGCTTCCGTACTGCGTGCGCAGATTCGCGCAAACCCGGAAGCGGGTTTGGTGGAGTGAAGGTCACACCGCGGCGGTGAGTTTCGCTCTTGTATTAAGTCTGGGCTTACCAGGTCCCCTGCGCTTCTATACCTGAAACGTGGGGTCCCTACAGACCTGGAAATTCTCGCCCTTCTTCCTTCACCCAGGACAAATTGAGACGTCCCCGTGAGAGTCCGGATATCGCTTCCTTTTGGGTTTAAAGTTGCCCTGAGGCTGGGCCGGCCCGGTCTTTCTGCTATAGGGCAATGTTACACTTCCTGTCGCGTAGTTTTCCTGCTCAAAACCATTTTCTGACTCCTCCCGCCCCGCGCTTTTTAAAGTCCTCACCGGGGAGCTGAATTCCCTCCCTAGGCGCCTCCCACCCTCGCCTTGGTAGGCCGCTGGAGCGTAGCGCAGGGACCTCAGTCCCACGGAGGCCGCGTCCTCTGCCTGGTCCTGGAATCCTGCAGACCCCCACCCTTGTCTTAAGACGCCCCCACCTCCCTCCTCGTGCCGGGCCCTGCAGTTCCCCAGGTCTCCCCTCTGCAGTCACCGCTTCCCCTGAGACCGCGTTGGGGAGGTTCCCGGGGCCTGTCCTGTGATATGGGGTGTTCTTGTCTGCCCAGCTCCAGCCACTGGAAAATGCGCTCCCCCGGGATGCAGGCTTCCTACTCCAAACCCTCCTGTGATTGTGTGGGTCAAGGGCTTCAGGAGACAGAGCAGTAGAAAACCTGAGACAGACAAAAGAAGAATGAGAAAGACCATAACAGATGGCAAAGTAGAGGATGGGTGAGGGATTTGCCCAGAGACAGCAAAAGTGAAAAGAAAACGATAAGAAAGCAGGAGGAGAAAAGCAACTGGAGAAATGTAGAGCAAAGCTAGATGTACAGAGAGATGAAGGACAGCAAGGTAGGGAGAGGGGCAGCAAAGAGGGAGGCTCATCAGAGTGAGGGAGAGGAGGGATTTGGAGCCAGGGCAGACAGAGCAGAGTGGTGCTGGTGGCAAGGAGAACAGAAGGAGAACCACAGCAGGGAGGACACCTGAGGACTGGGGTTCCAGAGAGTGGGGACAGGGAGATATAACAGCGAAGAGAGAATTTAACAGGGAGAGCAGAGGAGGTACAGAGATGGGAGAAGAGACGGAAATATATCAAGATTGAGGATGATCGAACGATTGGGGAGAAGGAGCAGCAAGAAGTTAGGTAAGTTGCGAGGATGGAGTAGAAGAGGTGGAAGAGAAGGAATGGAGGGAAGAAGGGGATAAACAGCAGAAGAGGAGAGGGGTACAAAATGAGCAGAATCCCAGGGAAATTAAAGAAAACAAGAGCTAGAGAGAGAAGGGGAGAGAGATAGGTACAGAATTAGAAAGGGAAGCATAGTAATGAAGAAAGAGGGGCTGGTCGCAGTGGCTAATGCCTGTAATACCAGCACTTTAGGAGACTGAGGCAAGAAGATTGCTTGAGTCCAGGAGTTCAAGTCCAGCTTGGTCCACATAGTGAGACACCCCCATCTCCGCCAAAAAAAAAAAAAAAAAAAAAAATTAACGGCATGATGGTGCGCACCTGTAGTCCTAGGTACTCTGAAGGCACAGACAGAAGAATCACTTGAGCCCAGGATTTCCAGGCTGCAGTGAGGCGAGAGCATGTCACTGCACTCCAGGCTGCTCAATAGAGCAAGACCTGTCTCAAAAGAAAAAAAGGGGTGGGGGACTTTGGGTTTAGATGAGTGGGTGAGCTCATTGGATACGATTAGTTGTGACATGTTGACTTCTTTGTATATAATCTCGTAACTTAAAACTTGCGCCGGGCGCGGTGGCTCAAGCCTGTAATCCCAGCACTTTGGGAGGCCGAGGCGGGTGGATCACGAGGTCAGGAGATCGAGACTATCCTGGCTAACATGGTGAAACCCCGTCTCTACTAAAAATACAAAAAACTAGCCGGGCGTGGTGGCGGGCGCCTGTAGTCTCAGCTACTTGGGAGGCTGAGGCGGGAGAATGGCGTGAACCCGGGAGGCGGAGCTTGCAGTGAGCCGAGATCAGGCCACTGCACTTCAGCCTGGGCGACACAGCGAGACTCCGTCTCAAAAAAAAAAAAAAAAAAAAAAAAAAAAAAAAAAACTTGCTTAAATTATACAGATGAGATTGAGAGTTTTAAGAATCCTATCTATAAGATATGTACATTCTATAAATCTTGGCCTCAGAGGTTAGCTTCCACTTGGAATCCCTATTCAGCCAGAGTGGAGCGACTTATTCACTTCTGAGTCACTCTGTTCCCTTTTCCCAGAGTGGGGTAGGGAGTGGGGCAGTGAAGTGAGAAAAAAATTCCTTTCTGTTGTCACATAATTTTTAACTTAATTAATATTAAGAGAGAGGGTCTGGCCAATTGCCTAGGCTGGAGTGCAGTGGCATGATCTCTAACTGCAGCCTGGTCCTCCTGGGCTCAAGTAATCCTACCTCAGCTTCTTGAGTAGCTGGGACCACAGTCATGAGCCACCAAAAAGCCCATCATTGTTTTTTTTGTTTGTTTGTTTTTTGGTAGAAACGAGGTTTCACTGTGTTCCCAGGCTGGTCTCAAAGTCCTGGGCCCAAAGTATCCTCCCGCCTTGGCTGCCCAGAGTACTGAGATTATAGGAAAGAGCCACCGAACCTGGTCTACATAGTTTTTTGATTTTTTGCTTGTTTGTTTGTTTGTTTTAGATGGAATTTACCAGCCTGGGAAAGGCTAAGTGCAGTGGCGTGATTTTGGCTCACCACAATCTCAGATTCCCAGATTCTCGGGATTCTCTTGCCTTAGCCTCCCAAGTAGCTGGGATTACAGACGCCCACCAAGCCCAGCTGCTTTTTGTATTTTTAGTTGAGACGGGGTTTCACCATGTTGGCCAGGCTGCTCTCGAACTCCTGACGTCAAGCAATCCGCCCGCCTTGACCTTTCAGAGTGCCAGTATTACAGGCATGAGCCATTGCGGCCGGCCCACTTTTTGTATTTTTAGTAGACAGAGTGTTTCAACATGTTGGCATGCTGGTCTCGAACTCCTGAGCTTAAGCAATTCTCCCACCTCAGCTTCCAAAGTAGCTGGGACCATAGACACACAGACATGCACCATCATGCCTGACTACTTTTTTTTTGTATTTTTGGTAAAGATGGGGTTTCACCATGTTGCCCAGGCTGATCTCAAACCCCTGAGATTAAACGATCCACCCGCCTCGGCATCCCAGAGTGCTGGAATGACAGGCACGAGCCACTGCACCAAGCCTCTGCATGGCGTTTGGTCAGGGCTGCGTCTGTGCCCTGAAGAGGTGCTCATTTCAGCCCAGCTCCCCACTGCTGCAGCGTGTGTGGAGGCTTCTCCAGGAGGGTGCGGGAGTTTTCCTGTAGGAGTTTATTGTCTCTGGGGCAGTGGGCAGCACAGGGGACCATATTTCCTCAGTGTGGGGTCTCCTTTATATGTGTGGTTGTGTTACAGGGACGGGGTGTGTTGATTCTGAGCAATAAACAACGTATTTTTAACATTTAGGATTGAATTCTAAAGACTCTTGGTCCATGAGGAAGAAACCCGGAAGAGGAAGAGGAAAGCAGAGGAGTCAGGGATGGCTCTTCCTCAGGTGAGATGATATTCTCGGTGGATTGTTCTGTCTCCTTCCTTTCAGAAACCCTGGGCCTTGGAGTTGGGAATCTTCTCTGAGTCTGAAGCGTCCTGCCTGACAGGTTTGCTCACACTCACCCATGCCTTCCCTCAGTCCCTCTCATCTCGCTTAGATTCCATCTCTCGTGACCCAGTGACATGAAGTTGGGAAGAGGCGGCACTGGGCATGGGCCTGGGAAGGGCTCACACCAGACATGGATGGAGATGGGGTGAGGGTCCCGTGGTGTCAGTGCTGTTGGGCAGCAGGGATTGTTCAGGGACCACAACTGGATGTACTGTCAGCTCTCTGTGGATCAGGAGTAGAGCAGCTGCCAATGGAAGTCATCTATTAATGGGCACAAAGTATGTGGTAAATTCTAGAAAAGGAGACCAACAAGGGGAAATCTTTTCTCCCTGATTTTATACTATATTTTTAGGTAATTGAGTGAGTTACTGTGTTCCTGACTCGAAAAATCTTACTAATTAGAATGGAAAGTTCATACACAGACATGAATGATACAAGGTGTTTTATTCCATCATTATTTTAAGAATATGAAATCAGGCCAGGTGCGGTGGCTCAAGCCTGTAATCCCAGCACTTTGGGAGGCCGAGGCAGGTGGATCACGAGGTCAGGAGATCGAGACTATCCTGGCTAACATGGTGAAACCCCGTCTCTACTAAAAATACAAAAAACTAGCCGGGCGTGGTGGCGGGCGCCTGTAGTCTCAGCTACTTGGGAGGCTGAGGCGGGAGAATGGCGTGAACCTGGGAGGCGGAGCTTGCAGTGAGCCAAGATCATGCCACTGCACTCCAGCCTGGGAGACACAGCGAGACTCCATCTCAAAAAAAAAAAAAAAAAAAAAAAGAATATGAAATCAACCTAAATAATAACTAGAGATTTTTTTTTTTTTTTTGAGGCAGAATCTCTGTTGCCCAGGCTGGAGTGCAGTGGTGCGATCTTGGCTCACTGCAACTTCTGCCTCCCGGGTTCATGCCATTCTCCTGCCTCAGCCTCCCAAGTAGCTGGGACTACAGGCACTTGCCACTATGCCCGGCTAATTTTTTTTTTTTTTTCTGTATTTAGTAGAGACAGGGTTTCGCTCTATTAGCCAGGATGGTCTCGATCTCCTGACCTTGTGATCCTCCTGCCTCGGCCTCCCAAGGAGCTGGGATTACAGGCGTGAGCCACCACACCTGGCCCGCTAGAGATTCTTTAAACCATTGTTAGCACACTAAGCTCTTGGAGATTGTGGTGTTACTGTGTAGAGGCTTGTGAAACAGGTGTTTTCGGTAAAAATAGTTACAGTTGGGGCCGCCATGTTGCAGCAGGATAGTAATGATGACACTGAAGATGTTTCACTGTTTGATGCAGAAGAGGAAACGACTAATAGACCAAGAAAATCCAAAATCAGACATCCAGTAGCAGCATTTTTCCACTTGTTCTTTCGAGTCAGTGCAATGGTCGTCTGTCTGCTCTGTGAGTTGCTCAGCAGCAGCTTTATTACCTGTATGGTGACAATTATCTTGTCGTGTGACTTTTGGGCAGTGAAGAATGTCGCAGGTAGACTCATGGTTGGCCTACGTTGGTGGAATCAAATTGCTGAAGATGGAAAGAGCCACTGGGTATTTGAATCTAGAAAGGAGTCCTCTCAAGAGACTAAAACTGTGTCAGAGGCTGAATCGAGAATCTTTTGGTTGGGACTTATTGCCTGTCCAGTGCTGTGGGTGATATTTGCCTTTAGTGCACTCTTCTCCTTCAGAGTAGAGTGGTTGGCGGTGGTTATCATGGGTGTGGTGCTACAAGGTGCCAACCTGTATGGTTACATCGGGTGTAAGGTGGGCAGCAGAAAGAATTTAACCAGCATGGCTACTTCACATTTTGGAAAGCAGTTCTTATGACAAAACACTGGAGATGATCAGACTTCCTGAATAGAGAAAACTTACGTGCTTTGTTACATTGGGGAACAACTAAAGAGATTCTTGACTCTGAACCTTTTAGAGCTTAGTCCATGTTGCAATGAGGAGTGTTGGCTTTGTTTTTCCACTTAAAAACTTTATTTATAAAAAGGAAAAGTAGTCTTTTTTTTTTTTTTTTTTGAGACAGAGTCTTGCTCTGTCGCCCAGGCTGGGGTGCAGTGGCCGGATCTCAGCTCACTGCAAGCTCCGCCTCCCGGGTTTAGACCATTCTCCTGCCTCAGCCTCCCGAGTAGCTGGGACTACAGGCGCCCGCCACCTCGCCCGGCTAGTTTTTTGTATTTTTTAGTAGAGACGGGGTTTCACCGTGTTAGCCAGGATGGTCTCGATCTCCTGACCTCGTGATCCGCCCATCTCGGCCTCCCAAAGTGCTGGGATTACAGGCTTGAGCCACCGCGCCCGGCCTGGAAAAGTAGTTTTCATATTAAGTTTTTATTTGCTTTCCAGCATTTGGGGCTAGAAAGTATATGCTGGCACTAGAAACATTGTCAGGATTTATTCTGTGGTGTAGGTGTGCACGTGTTCCATAGGTATGCACACAGCTGTGTAATATCAGTATATCCCAAGTTAATGAAAGTGGTCATTTACATAGGTAATGGAGACCTTTGCATTTTGATCCATAAAACATAGGAAGATGTTCTTAGTCTGTCTCAAAGTTCTATGTGTTTACATATTATTTCTGTAGACTATTTTCAGGAGCAAATTTTGCTTCCATGGTAAGAGTGAGCACTTTGGCTTATGTATGAGTTAGAAATTATTGTTAGTTTTTAATATGTACTTCATGGGGGAAATTTCTTAAACATATGCAAACAAGTGAAAACGATTAGGGCCAGTGGTATTAACTACTTTCTAAAATCTTATTTTTATTTGGAAGAAGTCGTTTACTGAAGGCCCAGGTAATATAAGTGGAATCATCATCGTTTGTTTAAGGAATACCCAGAGATTGCTGCTGTTCTATTTATTTTACAGAAAGGATAGCTAGATTGAAAGCTCCTCAGTGGACCTTGAGCTAATAGATCTTTTACCACTAAAAGAGCATTATTCTCATAATGAGAATAATCGTTTACATACTTGGCATAATAAATGCCTAAAAGACATTTTATTTTCTGAATCTATTTTTTTTTTCTTGCTATAATGGGGATATTGTAAATTATGCATTTGTATTAATGGTATTTCCTAAAGCATTCTGTGTAACTGTAAACCAATCCAGAAACTATTGTAGGCATTTGTAAATTCTGTTATAGATATTATACACTTTGTTGAAGTCTTAATCAGCAGATTATATTGTGAATATATTTGTACATTGTTAAAATAGTTTTTAAGATTTTTTTTTAATTGAGTGTCTTATTGAAGTGATAACTTTGAAGGTGCAAAACTTTGTATAAATTCTCAACAATGGGAGAAGTACTTTTGTATCCTAGAGGATTGAGCCATATTCTCATTCCACCTGTTATTATTATTATTGTTGTTGTTGTTTTGAGATGGAGTCTTGCTCTGTCACCCAGGCTGGGGTGCAGTGGCATGATCTCAGCTTACTGCGACCTCCACCTTCCGAGTTCAAGTGATTCTCCTGCCTCAGCCTCCCGAGTACCTGAGATTACAGGCATGTGCCACCACGCCTGTCTAATCTTTTTGTACTTTTAGTAGACACGGGGTTTCATCATGTTGGCCAGGTTGGTCTCGAATTCCTGACCTCAGGTGATCCTTCTGCCTCAGCGTCCTATAGTGCTGGGATTACAGGCATGAGCCACGGTGCCCAGCCCCACCAATTATTAGTAAATATATACTTTTACACTTAAACATCACATGATGTATATATTTGTTATTTATTTATTTTGAGAGTTTCACTTTTGTTGCCCAGTCTGGAGTGCAATGACGTGATCTTTGCTCACCGCAACCTCCACCTTTTGGATTGAAGTGATTCTCCTTCCTTAGCCTCCTGAGTAGCTGGTACTACAGGCAGGTGTCACCATGCCCGGCTAATTTTGTATTTTTAGAAGAGATGAGGTTTCTCCATGTTGGCCAGGCTGGTCTCGAATTCCCAACCTCAGGTGATCCGCCTGCCTTAGGCCTCCCAAAGTGCTGGGATTACAGGCATGAGCCACCACACCTGGCCAATGAATATATTTGTTTTGTGGAAAACTCTAAGCAAAGCTGCATCTGAGGCCATTGGCCATAAAGCATCTCCTTTCCCTGTCACATCCTCCACCCTCTTTCCAACCTCACTGGGGAGCCGCTACTGTCAATTCTGTGCCACGTGTCAGAGCAAGTCTCGTATATGTGTTTTTCTGCATCGTTATGAGACTTCAGAAAAAAATCAGTAGTAAATTTTTAAAAAATTATATTCATTTTTTAACTTTAGGTTTAGCGCTACATGTGAAGGTTTGTTACACAGTTAAACTCGTGTCATTGGGGTTTTGTTGTACAGAGTATTTCGTCACTTTGGCATTAAGCCTAGTACCCAATAGTTATTTTTTTATTTATTTTTTTGAGACTGAGTTTTGCTCTTCTTGCTTGGACCAGAGTATACTGGCATGATCTCAGTTCATTGCAACTTCCACCTCCCAAGTTCAAGGGATTCTCCTGCTTCGGCCTCCTAAGTAGCTGGGATTACAGGTGCCTGCCACCATGCCTGGCTAATTTTTGTATTTTTAGTAGAGACAGGGTTTCGCCACGTTGGCCAGGCTGGTCTTGAACTCCTGACCTCAGGTGATCCACACACCTGGGCCTCCCAAAGTGCTGGGATTACAGGCATGAGCTACCATGCCCAGCCCCAAACAGTTTTTTTTTTCTTTTGCGCCTCTCCTTCCTCCCACCCTCCACCCTTAAGCAGACTGCAGTGTCATACTTGTCCGTGTGAAGTGACCACCAAACAGGTTTTGTGTGAGCAAAAAGACTTTATTTCACCTGGGTGCAGGCAGACTGAGTCCGAAAAAGGAGTCAACAAAGGGAGATATAGGGGTGGGGCAGTTTTATGGGACTGGGGTAAGCAGTGGAAAGTTACAGTTAAAGGTGGTTACCTATTATCAGCAGAGAAGGGGGTCACAAGGTGCATGGTGGGAGATCATAAGACTCATTGTCTAGAAGAAGAATGTCTCGAGGTCGATCGATGGATCAGTTGGGGCAAGGCAGAAACAAGTCATCATGGAATGTCATAAGGTTGGTCAGTCAGTTAAGACGGGAGCTGGCTGTTTCACTTTTGTACTTTTTGGTTGCCTCAGGCCATCTGGACATATACATGCAGTCTTGGGCTCAGAGGCCTGACATTCCTCTCTTATATTAATAAGAAAAATAAAACAGTGGTGAAGTGTTAGGGTGGCAAAAATTTTGGGGGGTGGTATGGAGAGATAATGGGTGATGTTTCTCAGGGTTGCTTCAAGCGGGATTAGGGGCTGCATGGGCACCTTAAGGAAAATTTTATGAGTTACAAGGAATAGACATTTAGGCTGTGGGGAGATCTTGGTGCAGAGGATGGTACTGTGGGGTTGTTAAAAGTAGCATTTGTTGTATAAAATGATTGGTGATGGTCTGAATGTGGTTTTGAATGAATTGAGAAATGAAATGGAAGACACAAGGCCTGAATAAGACAAGGAGAAAAACAGGAACCAGGGGACTAAGAATAGGGAGCAGCCAAGACACTCAGAAAGTGTCCAGGTGGGTCCAGAGTAATTATTTGCCTGGTTGGCAAATTTTTGTACTCTATCCTTGAGTTTTTTTATGTTGTCATATACCAGGCCAGACTGATTTAGGTGAAAACAATACTCTTCATTTAAAAATATACGGAGTCCTCCTTTTTCAGCAGTAAGTCGAGGCCTCAGCGATTTTGGAGGACAACTGAGCCCGATCGCGGGGGGTGCCTGCACCCCCGGCAATGGGGCTCCCAGAAGCCAGGGGGGCGGGCCAGGGGTGGCTGAGAGTCGACTTGGCCTGAAGGACTGATAAGTTTGTGATATATCTGTAATGTTAGTAGAAATGTCATTTGAAAGGCTATGGAAGGTCGTGACAGAAGTTGAAACACCTGCCATTCCAGCTCCAAGGGCAATAGTGGAAGCAGAAAGTCCTAACCCTACAAGTAGAGGGATTAGAGGAATAACTCTTTGTCTGGTTGGTGTCATGAGCAGGACAGGAAGTTGTTCAGTCCCATTTGCAAATTGAATTTTGGGAATAAGAAAAATGAGTGTACCTGTATCTGTCCAATTAGCAGGTAGACACATGTAAGTGGAGGAGCCACAGGAGAAGAGGTTTTGTGCAATGCAAAATTGGAAATACAAAGTGAAAAGATGAGTACTGGCCGGGCGCGGTGGCTCAAGCCTGTAATCCCAGCACTTTGGGAGGCCGAGACGGGCGGATCACGAGGTCAGGAGATCGAGACCATCCTGGCTAACACGGTGAAACCCCGTCTCTACTAAAAAATACAGAAAACTAGCCGGGCGCGGTGGCGGGCGCCTGTAGTCCCAACTACTCGGGAGGCTGAGGCAGGAGAATGGCGTGAACCCGGGAGGTGGAGCTTGCAGTGAGCTGAGATCTGGCCACTGCACTCCAGCCTGGGCGACAGAGCGAGACACCGTCTCAAAAAAAAAAAAAAAAAAGAAAGAAAGAAAAGATGAGTACTAAAAGAGGTGTCTTGTACCCAGACTCCTAGGGATCCAGCTAGGGCGGCAGCCATCAGAGGTGGTAATGGGGACTGATGGGGTAATTGTATAGAGGGGGAGGTTCGATTTTCATGGTGTTTGAGAAAGTGTCAAGTGTCTATGAGCAACATTTCACTGTTATTTATGGGGCTGGGTATAAGTAAACAAGAAGAGGCCCTGGGAGGAGAGTCTGAAGAGGAAGGGGAAGGTAGCCAAGGATGGAGTGAAATACAGGGTAAATGTTCTCCTAAGCAATAGTAACTGCTAATGTTTTTAAGTTTGCCAGTATTGATAGAGGGCTTATCTGTAATACAGAGCTGGAAGGCCCCAATTGTTTCAGTGATATGTGTAGTTGGGCTTTGGAGATGAAGAGTGAAGGAGCATTGAGAAGGTGAAAGGTTACCCAAGGGAATTCCAGTGGGTCTTTGCCGAGAGATGCATAATGGAGCAGCCACAAGAGTAGCAGCT